TGCCAAACTGTTTTCTAGTTTGAGTTTTTGCCAACAGTGTAGGAGATACTCAATTGTTTGAAATCCTCATTAACACTTGGTATTATGAGTCTTTAATTTTAATCATTTTGGTAGGTGTGTAGTGATAGCCTGTCAAGGTTTATTTCACATTTCCTTAATAACTAATTATATTGAGCCTCTTTCCATGTGTTTATTTGCAATGCCTGTATTTTCTTTGGTGGGGTGTCTGTTCAATTTTTGCTCATTTGTAATGATGCACTGAAATTTATTCTGGTATGTGGTATGTGGAATAAATTTAAATTCATCTTTTTAAATATGGCTATCCAGTTATCCCCAAGTCACATATTAAAAAGTTCCTCTTTTCCCACTGTTGTGTGTTTCCACTTTATTGTAAACTCAGTTTGTCTGTGTATTTGGATCTATTTCTGAATTTCCTATTCTTTTCCTGTGAGTTGTATTTTTTGATCCCAGCTAATAGGACTTTAAAAATATCTTGATTTCCTTTTTACTTGGTTACTTTGTCAGATTAGCAATAGCCTGAATAATTTTTTAGAACATACTATAGCATCTTAATCTTAATAATTTGTTATTAAGAATGAAAATCATACCTTTGTTTTGTTCAGGAGTTTTATTTGCCAAAATACTGGTGCTCCAGAATGCAGTTTTGGGAGTAGCAAAGAGCTTGGTGACAGTCAGTGATACTTATTCTCATTTCTTTTTAAAAAATGTCATTTCATAAAACTTGACTTTTTGGTTTCAATTTAAGATAATTGTTAACCCAGTTCTCATACAGTTCTTTCTCTCTAATCTATGTGAAAGGAGAGAGTAACTTTGACATGATTATGTTTATCTGGAAATGAGAGCTGGGAAAAGATGGCATTGAGTTCCACATGGTGTAATTATAATATAAAGTCAGCATCTATTTTCTTCTCATCTTTTTCTCTCTCAGATAAAAAGCTTATGATTAGTAGAAAAAAACATTAAAACATGTTTGGGTTCTTTTTGGTTCTCTTTTGCTGGTACTTATTTAAAAATTATTGTTGGGACACCTGGCTGGCTCAGTAGAGCATGTGACTCTTGATCTCGGGGTTGTGAGTTTGAGCCCCATGTTAGGTATAGAGATTACTTAAAAATAAAAAATCTTAAAAAAAATAAGTCTGGGGCGCCTGGGTGGCTCAGTTGGTTAAGCGACTGCCTTCGGCTCAGGTCATGATCCTGGAGTCCCGGGATCGAGTCCCACATCGGGCTCCCTGCTCGGCAGGGAGTCTGCTTCTCCCTCTGACCCTCTTCCCTCTCGTGCTCTCTATCTCTCATTGTCTCTCTCTCAAATAAATAAATAAAATCTTTAAAAAAAAAAAAAAAAGTCTGTCTCTGTTAAGGATACCATCAGCTGTGCACTTAGAGAATTATTAATCTTTGCAAGAAATAGAAGTGGCAAATATCTTAACCTACCTTGGTCTAGTAACTCACTTCTTTTTTACTTTCATTCTTTCTTCTCACCATTTCCACCAGAGTTTCTTCCAGGTGTATTTATCCCAGTTATATAAGATAGCTTAAAGAATTTGTAGGATGCTTGTGCTAAAAGAATTGTACTGGTTGCTTAGAATAACCTTGGAGGGAAGTTGTGATTCATCAAGTAATCCCTATTCTAAAAGCTGCCTGGAATGTAAGATGTACAAATTCTCCACAGAGGTAGTATGTGTGATGAATAGGTTCCCAGGTCAGTGGGTAACAGTGTTGCCATGGAAAAGAATATTCCATTTTAACTTGGGGTGCTACAGTCCATCTCCCCGATTTGTCTTATCTTGGTAACTCATTCATTAATTTATCAAGCATTTACTGAATTTTTTTTTCTTCTTCCTCTTCTTAATGTGCTGGTAAGGGAGTCTCATTTATTGAGGTTGAGGGACTGGATCTCAGAAAATGAAAACAAAGATAAATAAAATAATATCCCAGCACTCAGGGAGTTCATGGCTATCTGCTTCAACTTTCACTTTCTGTCTACACTACTTTAGGATTTAAGAGTTCTAGCATTATGCTACTGACATTCGGTCCTATGGTCAGGGAGTTTTGCAGTCCAGGTACTGGAGAATGAGATGATCCCTTTCATGGAATAGAAGCCTAGAGATGAGACTACTCTTTTATTTTTTCCAGATCTTACATACTTGCTTCTCAGCCCCCACTGTGCATTAAATGATTGACCTCTTACCTCAGTAATGTGTATTGAAGAATTCCTTTACTTTATTCTCTTTTCTAGGACCTCAGTTACAGTTTTTATTTTTGTGGTTTTATACATTTTAATGTTAGAGTGAATATTTTGTCATAACTTTTTTAAAAAGTAAGTTTTCTGGATGTCTTATGTATTTATTTACTCAGATGATCACCCCTACTTTCCAAATAAATTCCTTAAGATTTTGATTGGAATTTTTATTCAGCTTATAAATTGACTTATTGACATCTTCACAATACTAGCTTTTTCTCATTTAAGAATAGGCTTTAATTTGTGTTTCTCAGTAAAATTGTGTATTTTTTTCATAAAGTTTTTTGGTTTATTTTTATAGTTACTGTTAAAGTTATACAGTCTGGCTGTTCATGTTACTTTGGGAAGCAATTTTTGCATACTTCTATAAAAACCATTGTAATGAACTCTAGTAATTCTAAAATATTTTTATGTTATCTCAACAAAATTGTATCATCTGAAGTGATGAAATTTTGCTTTCTTTCTACTGCTGAAATCTTTTATTTTTCTTACCTGGTTTTATCAGATAGCACCTCCAGAGTGATGTTAACAACTATGTTGATAGTGGAATGGATATCAGTGTCTTAAGTCTGATTTTGCTTTTAAATTTTGGTGATATTTTGCCATTAAACATGATACCATCTATTGTCTGAGAAAGGATTTTTAAGAGTCCTAAGAGTCTTTTTCTAATCAGGACTAGTTTCTTAAACTTTAGTACCCTTTACTAGATTTCTTTTACTGATTCTGTTTTCTACATAGGATACATTATTTTTCATAGGATCAAATTGTCTTCTTTGTTGTCTACTCTCCACTTTTCATCCTGTTAATTTCTACTGTGAACTGCTTTATATAGGTTCTGTTCCCAAAATCAGTTTTTTTTTTTTGAAGATTTTATTTATTCATTTGAGAGAGAGACTGAGCACAAGCAGGGGGAAAGGCAGAGAGAGAGGGAGAAGCAGACTCCCCACTGAGCCAGGAGCCTGACATGGGGCTCGATTCCAGGACCTGGAGATCATGACCTGCGCTGAAGGCAGACGCTTAACCATCTGAGCCACCCAGGACTCCCCCCCGCCCCCGCCAATCAGTTTTGATCATGTTTTACAAACTATATTCCAGGGAATTGTAGCACCATGACATCTTTCTGTGTTATGTAGTGAAAAGTCCACGCTTCTCAGGCTATTTATGTTCTTTGTGATCAGATCATTTGCCTTTCTGATCTTCATCTCTGTCAAGAACTGTGAAAGGTTTGAGATCTTACCCTACTTGCAAGCTAACCATGTTAGCCTGCTGTCATTTCATGGATCATGGCAGATCACACTAGTCTCCTGGGTCAGAGTCAAGTAGCCTCAGTATCTATTTTTCTTGCACTGGTAACCCAAGTCCCAGTTCTCACTGGGTGCATGACAAGGGCCAGATGACACCTGTACACACAGTTCCATTACAGGGAGGGCAGGAGCATTCTCTGGAATCTCACCCCTTTCAGTCTTTCCCCTCACTTCATTTCCGTATCATCCTAATTTTAAGGCTCCATCTCAGAGAGGTACTTTCTTCCATATCTCCCATCGTGGACCTTGTGTCTTTGAATGTGCTGCTTATCTACTGTGTCCCTCCTATTCCAGACACTCCAGTGTCCCTTCTTAGTTTGCACAGTGGCCTAATTTATTCTCTCTTTTTATAATTTGTAAGTCCTGTTTCTTTGGTTAGTGCCTTCTTGTTTACAGACTGCCTGCAGAAACATTATTCTTTGTCTCTCACAGAACCCTTTAAGGTGATATTGGTTAGGAATGTGTTCAGTTGCAGGGGTGCCTGGGTGTCTCAGTCATTTAAGCGTCTGCCTTCAGCTCAAGTCATGATCCCAGGTCCTTGGGATCCACTCGCGTTTAGGGCTACCTGCTCAGTGGGGAGCCTGCTTCTCCCTCTCCCTCAGCTGCTCCCCCTGCTTGTGCTTTCTCGTTCTCTCTCTCAAATAAATAAAATCTTAAAAACAAAAGGAATGTGTTCATTTGCAAGGAACAGATAACCCATACCACAATGGGTGTAATGAATAGAATTTTGTTTCTGTTTATGACTTTTTTTCATGTAGAGTCTGGAGATAGAAAATGCAGGTGTTGATTGAGCTTTTTAGCAACAACCTTTCCATATGCTCTTCCCACCATCTGAAATTCTCTTTTTTCTATATCTGCAGTTCTTAATTTTACCCATCCTTTAAATTATAAACTCTTCCACAGAGTTTTTGTAGAAGACTTACTCCCCAGGTGAAAATACTCTTTCTGTATATACTCTTAGGTAGTACTAAGCTGGAAAATGGCATTTATCATTGAGTTATCTGCATCTATATCTATATCTCTATATGTCTTATATCTTACATCTTAACTTCCCACTAGACTATAAATTCCATGTCTTGGGTATATCATTTGTTACCCTCTGAAAAGTGCCTTGTTTAAGGTAGACACCATTCGTTTACTTGTTGAATGAATGTAAAAGAATGAGTAAACCTTGCCTTTAAGCAAGCTCTGTCACTGCTATCTATAGTCTAGAGAAAAGATAAGTTGTTGGGGGCATCAATGTGGAGCTTGGGGTTTAAGCAGATAATTTATGGGAATTAAATGTACATATTACTGAAAGGAACACCTTTATCATATAAATTAGTTTCTGAATGTACAGATACTTCTTTAATGCTATCCAAATGTATCTTCACATACTATCAGTACAATCTGTTAGTACTATGTAGAAATAAAATGGAAACTATTTTTTCTTTTAGTGCTTAGATGAATATGAAGATGATGAAGCAGGGCAAAAAGAGCGGAAACGCGAAGATGCAATTACACAACAGAACACGATGCAGAATGAAGCTGTCAGCTTATTAGATCCAGGCAGTTCCTACCTGGATCTAATACAAGTGAGTATTTATTTATTTAAATTTAATTTTAAAAAATTATCTTAAAAATTTATTTTCTTATGAGTTATTATATATTGATTGATTGTGAACTCTGAGATCAAGAGTCATGTGCTCTACCAACTAAGCCAGCCAGGTTCCCCTAAAAATTTATTTTTTATTTTTTTATTTTACAAATGAATATTTAAAAATACCAGGATGTCAGTTGCTATTTTAACAATCATTTTTAAGTAGCTTTTAATAATTTTTCCATTCTCCTTTTGGTTACATCAGCTCCATTTAAGTATTTTCAGTGGATTTAAGTATTGACTTTCCTTCTATCCAAATACTTCTTGACTTAAAAACAGTATGTATGGTTCTTAGTTCTTGATCAGTGAATATTTGCTGTCTGACTGATTAAGCAAGTTAAGCAGTACCTATTGTAAAAATAGGAAAAACAATTACCTCTTTGCTCTTAATAAAGTTAGAATTAGTAAGTTTAAGTGAGTTGACAATTCTGATAGCCATCCTGGCATTGATTACTAGCTTACAAATCTTACAAATCTTAAGGTAAATTCTTCTCACTTACCTAATGTTCACTTCCATCAGTTTTAATATACACCAGTGTAAATACCATTACTGACTGTTCTGTATGAAATTCAGTGTTCTACAGATCCCATAGGGTTGTGAGATAGAACCAGGAGCCTCCATCTTTTATAGGAACTTAAGTGGTACTGTGGAGACCGAGGCAGTTTTGCTTAGGTTAAGCAGGATTTACTTTCATTTGTAAGAGAACCCTCTTGCAACAGGCTTATTCAATTCTCCTAAAAATGGTGGCATTCTTTTAAACTATTCTTTTAGAAGCAACAGTTACATAAATGGAAGATTGGATTAAACCTAAAAATGTGGACCCCAGTTAACTATATTATTCATATGATTTTACTTGTGTGTATATATATGTAAATATATATATTTATATAATAAATATATAATATATATTTTATATGTTATATATAAATATATTTATATATATAAAAGATTAGAGTATTCTTCACATTTCCAGACAAAATCCAATTTTAAAAAGCGTGGTCTTACCAGACCCCTAAAAATAGCCATTTGAGAGTAAACCAGTAGAGCATTATATCATCTCAGTGAAGCTGTAGGTTTCATTACGTGCACCAGCAAATCTACATGGCTAGCTTCTGCATTCCACTTTTACAGAACTTATATTATACCTGTTATACCAAATAGCATTTTAAACACTGAAGTATAAAATCCCTAATAAGATAAAGCAAAGATAAAAGCATTTATCTTATAAGAAACAAGATATACCACCACTTAGAGTCTTCAAACATTATTGCACTTTAACTTTCATAATTTGACAGTGCATTCATGGAACATTCTGTAGACAACTAATTTTAACAGACAAGGAGCACTTTTAATTTTACAAACATTACTTACATTAGCAGTAATGGTGGAGCTAGAGAGTATTGCATCTTCTCCATGCCGCACAGTGAGAACCACCAGTAGTGTGGTGAAACTTGTGACCCTTTCCAAGGCCACATTCTTATAGCCTGCAGATGTCAGTCCTTCTATCTTCCTGTGCTTGTGGACTGGTTTGGCGATCCCCTGGGTGTCAGGATTTCTTTTGCTAGCTTTATGGAATGGATCAGTGAGGATAATCTAGAGAATTTGTACATGGAATCTTCGCCAACCCAGTTAAGAATTTTCAGGACTTTCAGAGCTCCACGGTGGTGTCCATCTCGCTCCTCTGCAACAGACTGAAGGCTTCGGGCAAACTTCAGCCGGTTAACACCAGGGTGGAAAAGCTTGCCATAGGTTGCACCCTTAGGGACTGGGCATTTGTGGGCACCACATTGCACATGAATCCTATATATGACATAACTTTGCTTGGCCTTGTACGCTAGTCTGTGCGCTTTATTGGACCAGGTTGGGCAGGGTCCCTGTGGAGCACAGAGAACTGGGGGTACTGCCAGCAGTGCCCCCTGAAAAGAAAGTGCATTACAGCCGACTGCTACTTCCTCCGTAGCTAGCTCCTGGCTGGACTGGTAAGCGCCCACCTTGGCTTAGCTTTGAGCAGATGGCTGCCACCAGACAGAAAGGAAAGAGCCTTTCTTCCCTTTACGGGGTATTTTCCACAGCACGGCTCTTAAAAATAGAAAATGAAAAATGAAAAAAAAAAATTAAAAATGACACATTCTTACCATACAATACTTAGACCTTTTCCAGGTTTCACCAGTTGTCCCAGTAATGTTCTAAAGTATAGCAGAAGGATCTCATTTAGAATCAAGTGTTGCATTTAGTTGCTGTTATCTCTTTAGTTTCCTTTAATATGAAGCAGTCTGTCTCTCTTTACATTTCTTATCTTGGGGCGCCTTGATGGCTTAGTTGGTTAAGAGTCTGCCTTTGGCTCAGGTCATGATCCCAGGACCCTGGGATGGAGCCCAACATTGGGCTATCTGCTTGGCAGGGAGCCTGCTTCTCCCTCTCCCTCTGCCTGCCGCTCCCCCCGGCTTGTGCTCTCTCTTTCTTTCTCTCTCTGTCAAATCAATCTATCTTTAAAAAAATAAATAAATTTCTTAATCTTCCCACTTTAAAAGATTATAGGGCAGTTATTTTCTTTTCTTTTCTTAAATAAAAGTGTTAATAATTGTTTTGTGGAACTGCTGATCATATGAAATCCTTTAACAGAAAAAAAGTGTTTTGTGGGTAAGTGCTTTGAACCATGTAGATATCTTAATCCCCATCAAACTTTCTCTATTTATCATCTTCCTGTGTTTATATCTGTATATGTGTATTGACTCACCATTACCTCTTTTATCGGATGGATTATACTGTTACTATCTATTAGTTTTCTGTTGCTGCTGTAACAAATTACTACAAGTTTGTTGTCTTAAAAAAACAGCACAAATTTATCATCTTACAGTTTTGTAAATTGGAGGTCCAGCACAGGTCTGATTGGCCAAAATCAAGGCCTAAAATAAAAGGCTTCAAAGGCAAAAATCAGGAGTGCGTTCCTTTTTGGAGGCTCTAGGGGAGAATCTGTTTCCTTGCCTTTTCCAGCTCCCAGTGGCTACCCACATTCTTTGGCTTATGGCTCTCCTTCTTCTGTCAAAACCTGAAACGGTGGGTTGAGTACTCCTGCAGCTTGTCATTCTGACCTTTGTTCTTAGTCATATCTCCCTCTGACCTTCTGCCTTTGTCTTCCACTTTTAATGAATCTTGTGATCACATTGGGCCCATCAGATAATCTAGGATAATCTCCCTATTTAGGGTTGTTGGTTAGCAACCCTTTGCTGTATAACCTATTATGTTTGAAGGTTCCAGGGATTAGGACATAGACATTTTTGAGGGTCATTATTCTGCCTACCACACCATTATCTATTTTGATGTTCAGATTATCCCAGATTTTGCCAGTGGAAACTCTTTGGAGCTTTTGCTACATCTCCATCGTTTTTGGAATACTTCTTGGCGTAATATGATGTTACAGCTCATCTTTAACTTTCCTACACCAAAGTTGGAAACAGCCATTTCTTTGAGAAGCTAAGGAGTTCTGATTCCTTTTACTGGAAAGTACTTTGAAGCCACGATCGGGGCTGTAGGTTTGTTTATGTTACTGAAATGTCACCATTCTCAGTCCCTCTCTGTGTATAGACCTACAAAATATATGTGTATCTATATATATATACATATCTGTCTTCTGACTGCCTACCTACCTACATCTATGTAGATACTGAAACTAATTTATACTGATAACTTCCAATCTAATCTAATACTATAGGGTTTTATTCTAGTAGTTGTTAACTCCCTTTTGTGACATTGAGAAACTCCCGTTATCCTTAATGTTTTCTTATTTGTTCAGTCCCCTTCTGTGTAACCTATATTCCATTGCCACCCCTTCCCCACATTTATACCCGCCTCACCACAAGTGAGTTCTGACATCCCATGTTGGCTTTCTTTGTGCATGAACACTTGCTGACCCTCTTCAGGCTTGAGCATCCCATGCAAGGCTGTAGGATGCCCTCCTTACCCTGCTTGAATTGTGACTCCCCACACTGGATCACCCCTCCGCCCCCATGCCCCAGGATTCCCTCCTTACACTGCTTAGCTTCTGTCACCCTGTGATAGGCTGCTGTTCCCTAGGGTCTTTGTTCATGTTCAGACTCTGAGACCTTATGCTGAATTGCTTCTCCACGGAGACCCCTCATCAACCTGATTGGGTTTTGACACCTTCAGGCCAGAATACCGCTCAGTGTGGACACTCTTCTTCATCGTGTTTGGGCTCTGGCACATCATCCCTGTTCATCTCTCTGCAGAGAGGCTCTCTTCAAGGGCTGCGAACTCCCCATGCCATGCTGTTTTCTTTACCCTTCTGGGGCTCTAAAACTCTCTTCTGTGCCACCCTCTTGAATGAATGACCATCACACCCTTCTTGGGCCTCTTGATGTCCCCTACATGGGTCTCCCTTTCTGACATTGTCTCAGGACTGATAGTCTGCCTTCCCTTTCCTGCTTTGTAGACACCCTCATTTCTGCTCTGGCTCTGATTTCTCAGGCCACACCAAGTCCCCCTGCAATATGGATGTTCTCGTCAGTTTGCTTGGACTCTGATTCTCTATGCCAGGCAGCTCCTCTTCATGTAGGGCTCCAGTATTCTGATACCGTGGTTTGGGCTACTTTGTTTCTTCCCCATCTAGCTCTGCCACACCTAATGGTTTTAGGACTGAATCATTCAGAAAGGAAAGGGGAATGGTGAGTTCTTCCTTTTTTAATCTTTATTAATTTGATAAAGTTCTTGTTTTGTTTTCCATTTTCTTAGCTATTTTATCAGTTATACATTACAGATATTTTTTTCTGCATTCATCTTCAGCATGTTATCTTGCTACATTATGTCTACCAGTATAGGTACTTTAAGTTAGTCCTGGGGGCCAGTTAGCATGTTATGCCATAATTTTATTGAGGGCTATGGCTTTGTCAGTAATTAGTTTATTTGAATAACTTCAG